AGTTAAACCATTGTTGCGCTATTTTACATGTCAGTGGTCTAAGGGTATGTTTCTTTTTGGCTTTGCCTGTTCGGATGCATGTTGCAGGGGCCAATAAGGGTGAAGGTACTATGAGTTGATGTTTTTTTTAACCAATGAGATTCTAAACATGACATTGCTGCACTAAAGGTCAAACAAGGGCACTTTGAGACTGGCATTTTGTTTCTTCACAATTTAGTCATCTTTTGTAACGGCCAAAGGTGTTTAAAAGCATAACATTTAAATATCTTCATGATTCAAATGCTGAGTACAGTGATGCAGCTGTTTAAGGGTTCATATTTTAGTGTGGCTGCTGGTTCAAGACATTTATGACCTAATTCGGTTATTATCGAACAGCACAANACAGTGTAACTTAGTATAATTATCATTTGTTGATTGCTTGCAGGAGTTAATTGTGAGGCTAATAAATCAAAATTTGACTAAACCCCAAATCTTCTTGAATGGAAAACTCGCTCTCTTATACTCAGTTTAGTCCCCTAAATGCTGGAAATCGCTTATTAGGGCTTTGCAATTTTAAAATTTTCTGAGGGAGCATGCCCCCAGACACCTCTTGAAAACGTGGACTATTGATACAGTCAGTTACTCAATTCAAATCTGCTGGCTACTTCAATTTTTATTGAAACCGCTGCAGACAGGCAATTTTTTTAGCTGTTAATCCTTTCTCCTAACATAAGCAATGCACAATCAACAGAAAAAGTTATGAGAATTAATAAAAAGATGACGCTGTGACCTTTTAACAAATTCTCCCACTTAATCCTTTAAGGCAATGTATGGAGATCAGTTGGGAGAGAATTTGTATGCAAATATTGGGGCATAAAGAGTTAAACCATTGTTGCGCTATTTTACATGTCAGTGGTCTAAGGGTATGTTTCTTTTTGGCTTTGCCTGTTCGGATGCATGTTGCAGGGGCCAATAAGGGTGAAGGTACTATGAGTTGATGTTTTTTTTAACCAATGAGATTCTAAACATGACATTGCTGCACTAAAGGTCAAACAAGGGCACTTTGAGACTGGCATTTTGTTTCTTCACAATTTAGTCATCTTTTGTAACGGCCAAAGGTGTTTAAAAGCATAACATTTAAATATCTTCATGATTCAAATGCTGAGTACAGTGATGCAGCTGTTTAAGGGTTCATATTTTAGTGTGGCTGCTGGTTCAAGACATTTATGACCTAATTCGGTTATTATCGAACAGCACAAGGAATTAAAAGGACGTTTGATCAATTCACGCTCGTGCATTCTATAGCGGAAGGACATCTGTGAGCAGGGAAAAAATCAGCACAGAATTTGATTGTCAGCGAATTTCTGTAATCATCCATCGTTCTGCTAGTGATAAGCTAGCCGTTGTTCACTCATCTTGCTTGTTTGGGGCTGAGTCTTATTCCGGTCGAAGAGAGAGAAAGAGTGTCTGGCAAGGTTTCCGATATAAATCAAATATTTGTGAACTGGTGTCTGGCAAACTCTCCAAGTGTTTATATATACACAGTTATACGCACCCTTTAACTTCATCTGCGCTTAACAAGTGTCTTTTGTTCCATAACTTTCAAAACAACTGCTCCACAGAATGTCACTGATAACACATAGCACAAAATAGTATTGAAGTATGACAGCACGATAAATGTCACAAAATCTACCTAAGCAGTCCGTTCAGGATTTTCTGTCTTTACGTCATCCTAACCATTTTGTACTTGTGGGCACGAACAATAGAAACGTCATCATTACCTACTGATTCCTCACAGCCCCTGTTCAAGCAAATCGAGATTTTTTGTACTGACTGTATATTTCAACTTTAAGTACTTTCCTTAATATACATGTACGTGTGAGTTACTTAGGGTGCCTCCTTGGGATTTCGCCCTGAAGGCAAAATCCCTGCAGGGGCAACAATAAAGTTGCTAATGCTGTCTCTCATTTCTGTTGTCAGAAATTCTGTTGCCTCCCCCTCAATGCCCGGCTTTCCCCTATGAATCCCTACAAACTCATTGTTGGACTTACTTGGTTAGCTTAAGAGCTTTACAGTGTAGTTTCTCATTTTGACTCTTGGATTGGTTTTCTCTACATGCCAGTATTATGGTACTGCAGAAAGGGAATTATTTTATGAGTTTTGTACTCAGCTGGGAAAGCTGCATGTACCCTTCAAGTTCCCCATGTCCTGATGAGGAATAGAGTCTGTATGTATTTTCTATGTTTTTAGTGAGATTGCTTCTGCTCTCTTTGTAACTTTCAATTGCTGTATTTTTCAAGAAGGGTTTCCCAGACCCTCTGCAGAATTATTGTTATTTACAGTGTGTCCTGAGTGGGATGAATGTTTTCAGGGTCTCTCATCTTTGTTTTGCCTTCTGTTAAACAGACTGCCTCTTGCAGGTGATTTAGAAATTTTTTGGACATATAAGGTTGAAGGTACTATGAGTTGATGCGAGGAACCAATGAGATTTTGGCATCTAATTATGACATTGCTAAAGGTCAAACAAGGGCACTTTGAGACCACCATCTTGGTTATTCTCAATTTTTCGTCTTTTTTTACAGCTAAAGGTGTATAGAAGCATAACATATAAATATCTTTATGATTTAAACATTGAGTACAGCAATGCAGCTGTTTAAGGGTTCAAATTTGGGTGGGTACACGGGTGCTGCTTCAAGACATTTCTAACCTAATTGGCTATCGCAAATTATGGTACAATGCATGTATTTCATAATTTCTGAGTTCTGTTACACGTGCTTCGACGTAGAGTGTAAAAGATCATATATTTTTCAAAGTTCTTCAAATGAAACATTAATAATTGATATTTAGATATGGACTTAAACTTAGAAGTATGCAGCCTGTGGTTTTAGAAGGTTGAAAGGTAGCTCATTTTTTTAAAAGCTGTACCAACTAAGTTAATCCTGTAAACAAGCTTTATTCTCGCACTTAAAAAAGGGACAAAGTCCACCATCTTCATGTGCTAGATTACTGTGATAAGTAGAATTCCCTCATATACGAACCGTGAAAGGGGCAAAGTCCAACACTTAAAGGTGCAAACTGTTTGACTTCATCTCATGCAGACTAGCTTTTCACAGTAACTTCACATAGTAACTTGAATGTATGAAGACCTCTTTAGCTTTGTAACCAATGCCTTAAGTAAAGGCTCTTTTCTATAAACAGGCAATAACTTATAACATTTGTAGAATCGAGTCATCAGGGTTAGAGACTGTTTCATTAAGTAGAACTGCACATGGCAATCCCGTGAATAATGATGATGCAACCATCTACAACAATAATAAAAATCGTGACATTTCCTAGCTATTCAGTATTCGACAAGCCCCAGTTATCTTAAGAAATCATAAAGAAACCTTCGAGTTTTCCCTCTAAGCAACATTTGGTGAGTTGATATCCAAAGTACTTTAACAATTTGTTAACAACTGCATCACTAAAATGGAGGTTGGGTGCCTGGAGTATCCAAGGGCTTCCACTATTGGCAGGAAGTCCCTAGATTGAAATAATGCCCCCATGACTGGCACAACGACGCAACCCAGCCATGAGCCCCCACACGAAAGGAAAGGAACAGGCACCCATCACACTGAAAAACATCAGTGGAGAAAAAACAAACAAAGCCTAGGGGGAGGGGGGAGGAGAAGAAAATGGCTGACAGAACCTAGCACAAAGGAAAACTGAAACACGCCAATGAATCACATGATCGATGTAGCCAGCTACTAGGCATGTGCATGCCAAAGACCGATGACCTCAGGCACTAAAGGCGCTCTTAGTTGTTAACTCCCTCAAATTGCATTTAAATGCATTTTATTTTGCACCAGCTCTCCAAAGGAAAGACAAAGAAAAAATGTGAATCTATAGTATGAGGATGGACTCAGCTATGCGTAATGTTTTGCATTTTCGTTAATGTACAGCAATTTCCAATTTTGCAAAAAAAAATTGTCTAAATTTAGGATTAAAAGAGTAGATTCTTGGTACGGTAACACTGAAGCGTTCAAAACAGCTCATGCACGTTAAAAGTACCTATGTTTAACCTTGGCAGATAATGGCCAAACAGGAAATGTTTTAAGCAATAGCTATTACATAGGCAAGGCCATTTTTGTCATTCAGAATGGAGTTTGGGATCACTGTCTTGATCCAAGCACAATGCCCGTGGGTTGCCAGTCTAGCTATGTGGTACAAAGAGAAATCAAGTGCTAGAAAGCTCTGAAAAAATTGCAAACTCCTAATTGTAGCTTTGAATGAAAAATGGTCAGTACTTTGCGATTAAACTCTTTAAAAATTATTGCAGTGGCAGATACTTAACATAGATATAAGATTATTTTATAAGAAAAATGGTAAATTGAACAAAGGTCAAACAAATTTTAAATTTCAATATGTTGATTATTTGAAATAAACAAACTCCTTCATGCTGTGTCAGGTGTTCCGAAAAAAAAAGTAATCAAGTTTTACATATAAAGAAACCATATTACACACAGAATAGAATACAAGTCATGTAGAAAGGCAACAATGTATTTTAAAAAAACAATCCTTAAATTAGGGCAAGTCATTTTTAAAATTTGCCATTCGGGGAAGCTGAAGCTAGAATATACTAGCCCAAACATCATTTCAACTAGCCCCCAAAAAATTGATGAGCAGAATTGATTTCACAGTTCTTGATCCATAATTTGAATTCCTCAAAAACCTTCACTTGCCCGTCGGGCAAGTTAAGAACAAAATTCAATAGCCTGATAGCAAAATCCACTAGCCCCATGCTTTCTTTGCTCGCTGCTTAAATACACTTTCACATTATTCCCATACAGTAAAAATACAAAGAGGATTTCAAATGTTGCTTGACTTGGTAACAATAATCTGTTCTATAACTGAAACCACAATAATGAAATACAATGTTTTCTCTAAGGCTTGCATTTGGACTTTTTATTATTGTCTACAGTATCACTGTATGGTAAAAGGTTATGTGACACACCCAGTGCATTTTTGAGTTATACACGTGTCTATGTAAGCAAAGGAGAATATTTAAGGACAGAAGAGAAGTGCATGCTCGTACCTGTAGTTCTCTCAATAATATCGTTTTCAGTCAACATGACTACAGTGTAGCCTTACCCTTTCAGTGTTTGCCTCCTGATTTTCTTCTTCCTCATAGTACACTACTGGCTGAAAGCTAACTTCTCCACTGAAAACAAGAATTTGTTGTACATACCGGTAATTAGTGTAAATGTCTTCAAAACAGTGAGCAATTCCATGAAATGATTTTATTATATTATTTCTTAGCGGCAGAAGTGTTTATTATATTTTATAGCTTGTGATAAAGTGGAACAAAGGAGAGTTCCTTAACACTCTTCAGCACATGTAGACTCTGGGAAGATATACATGTAATAATAAATTTGAAAACAACAAATTTGCCAAATTCCTGGAATGTTGATTTACATACATGTATGCATTTTACATCCACTTAAGAGATTGTGTTTGGTCACAGAAATCTTTTGTTCACTCCATTGCAATAAAATCAAAACAACAATCCATGATCATAACATCATTTAAATTATTTCCACTGCAATCTTCACATCATCATTCTGAAAATCAAAATGATTTGCCAGTGTGTCTGTGTATTTAATCATTTTAGAACAATTTGCAAAAGAGGAAAGTGATATTTTGTCCAAACATATCAGATACTGGACTAAACATTGACGTCTTGAGTTTCAAGTATTAACTATTACATTTAACTCACCCTCGAAACCAGAAACTCAATCTGGGTAGTGTAATAGTTAATACTTATGTAATGATCCGGTTAAGAAGGGAGGCAATTTCTTTTGTTATGGCGCAATACACTTTCCTCACATAGGAATGTTTTCATTTTCACACAGAGAATGCATAAAGTTCAAAGATTATTGACAGATTTTTGCAAAGTATTAGATACTTACTAACGCTAGCCCGCAAAATAGCTATAGTTAATCTAGGCAGGTAGTGGAGACTGTTTACAGAGTAAATTTACATCTTGCATAAACCTACATAAAGGCAGTTTGCAAAATAATATGTACTCCATTTTTAAAGGGTGTTTTTTTGTTTTAAAAGATTTTGACCAATCATAAGAGTTAAAAACGATAGCCAAGAAGAGTTTACAATTTTACATGTTCTTCACATGGGATTTTTGTGTTGTTAAGACTCAGTCAAGATTTTGTTGTAAGGAAGTTGGTTAGAAAACAGGGAATTAATATACATGCTGCTTGTGTACCAAAAACGTGAGGCATTGAACAGCTGTATTGTCATCTCCAGTTTCTGATTTGCCTGAAGCAATTTTATTGGTTAAAATCAAAGTGGAGAAACCATCTTCACTGTGATGATAATCCTCTCGAAAAGGAACAAAGAAAGGTACAGACAAACATTCGAAAAGTGATCTGGTTTGATTTGTGGCATGAGAATCAATAAACCAGAAAGCACTTGGGATCTTTGCGGTTTGGATATACATTGTTGTGTACTGTTTTGTGTGTAGGCACACGAGTAGTTGTCAACTTTTGATGGGTCTGAGTGGTAGTACATGTATAAGCACAATCTTTTAACACAGTTTTTAAATGTTATCTACTGATAATATTATTCTTTTGTTGAAATTTGTCATAACTTGCAAGCAAATTAAATCTAAATGGCAAAGTGAACCATTGCATGCACATAATAAGGCACCATTGTTTTTTTTTCCTTTACAAAAAAGGCATACACTAGGAGATTCAAGTTCTGTTTTAATTTCCTTGTGAAATTGGCTTTATCAATACTTATATAGTTGCCTGTCCAAGAGACACACGTTAATTAGCTTTAATAAAGCATTATCTCAATTCACGTTCTCAATGCAACTTCAAAATCTAAATTAAAAAAATTGAGAGCAATTTGTTATGTTCATTTTGAATGAATTGTCACATCAGATTTTAGTTAAGTTGCTTTAGGACTACAGAATATGTTCACTTCATGAGTGATTGTGGTCACTCATGCTAATTGGGTTTGCTACCTTTAAACCTTTTAACTGACGACTTACCAGACGACGTTTAGGGGCTCTGTTGTCCACTGTGTACAAACTTTCACCGGTTCCTGTTAGAGCCATAAATAAGTCATATTGTGAGCTTTACTTTTACATTGCAAAAATCAACCAGCATTCATTGTTTCAAATTAGGCTACAATGAGAATTTTTCAATCTTTAATTTGACAGAATGCAGTATGTCATGGATTAATGAGTGTCACTTCCAAATACTGTATTTATTCTATTAAGCACCCCTCTTGGAAAAAGAAGAAGTGGACAAGAAGAGTATTGTTTATGATTTCTTTAATGCCCTCTGCTTCTCATTGAATGACCTGGCCATTTGCAGATGTTACACTGTGAGACATCTACAAGGCAACACCAGAGAGTTTGCCTTTTGCCCTTACTGAAAATGAGATAGAAATTTCGACTAGGTATTACTAAGAGACTTTCCCAAAGACCAAGTTCTTAGTCTTCTTTTTCAATGAACAGTTGAAATTCTCCTTTGGTTCACCTTCATGTTTGTTATTATTTACTGTTTTGTTGGAAAATTGACCTACTACTGGCTGAAAATAATGAAAATTTAATACCCAGCCTCGAACAAGCGCCAACCTCAAAAAAGCTCCCACTCTCACGGCTCAAAAAATATAATAAGCACCCAGGGCGGATAATAAATACAGTAATAACATGTTGATTTTTCTAAACTTGTCAGTATTGTAGCATACAGTGTATGTTTCTCCCACAGGCTGAGAAGGTCTGGGTTTGAGATTCTATGCATTGACATAATTTTATCTACAAAATACATGTAAAAATGTAAAGTTATGATTTTTAAAATTAACTGAGTGTAATCTGTTACTTACGTCTAGCTTATCAAGATCCTGGTTGCTGTGAAGAACAAAGAAATCAAAGAAATCAGAAGGTACCGTGAGAAGACCATTATTATTAATTAACAATTAATGAATGAGGCTGAGTATCATAACACCCTCCTTGATCTCCATAATTCTTCATATGATACGAATGCCGAATTCAATAATTGTTTTATTATTCATTCAAAATAATTCCTAGTTTAAAAACATGGCTAAACATGCTTACCGCCATTGATCCATCGATGTTAAGTTCATCTTCGATAGTGCACGTTTAGGGTTGTTTAGCTCCGCAAATATTCTCCAAATAGCAGATGTCGCCCTTCGAGTTCTGTTCTTGCTGTTCTTGCCATGCTTTTAGCTATTTTTGCACCTAGTTCTTACTCTTGAAACCAATGAAATGTCCGCCATTTTTCAAGTTCACAACCAAAACAACTCAACCTCGTGACCAGGTCTTCTCTGTTAACGGTGCATTAACATGTAGAAGGCTGCATTTTTGACGTCATTTCCTTGTTAACCACAAAATTTTTCCAAATTTGGTCATCAGTAACTGGTTATGGTGAATTATGCGTTTACTTTTAGCCAATCAGCATTTGGGAAATATTTTGAATGAATAATAATAATAATAATAATGATTGTAATACAGAGCTACTAGTTTTTCTAGTAGGCTTGTTATTAATAGCTGCCTTTTATGTCTTTAGTGCCTAAAGTATATCTCTATTTATTTCAATTTGATAATGCTGTAGGCCCTGCAGTGCTGTCACTAAAGGGTGGGAGCCAGGGATTTCCCCCGGCTCATATATGCATGACTCCCAACTACTTTCATGGGACAAAATAGGAAAATAGAACCAGAAGTTCTAACTTTCTAACTGTTCAATTCCGTGTCTACTAGTCGCATATACCCGGCAACATGAAATCTTAGTGACAGCTCTGCCGTGGGAGTAAACACAGTGGAACCTCTATAATAACAAAGTCTTCAATATAATGAATGATTTTCATTACCCCAGTAATAGTAAAATATATGGAAAATTATAGCGAACAAATTTTTGAAAGTCCCTTGGTCCTTCATTATATTGAGGTTCTACTGTAATACATAAATGTAGTTTTACGGTGAAAGAGATGTGATTTTTTAGTCAGTGACAGAGGCGGCTCGAAAGTGGCCTTTGCTCCCACAAGTCTACCATAGCTTAATGGTTGAGCATCTGTTCTAGTAATCAGAAGGTCATACATGTAGGGTTGACTCCTATTGGGAAAACTCAGAGTTTTTCTTCCGAGCCGCAAATGTCACTGATTGAAAAATCATCTTTCTCAGTTTTACCATAGCACTTCAAAATGTTAATAAAAGTTATCGTTGAACGGCACAGCTAGTGCACCAATTAGTTATGGATGCAAGCAGGAGGTTGCTAAGCACAGAAGAAGCACAAAAGTGTCTCTTAGCAAATAAAAAAACCTTTGTAACACATTATGAGTCATTAGTGCACAGCTGTGATGCTTACTTACTGTCCTCAGCTTGCACCCACTTGCAACAATTGTTAAACTGATCAATCAGAGTGTATGCTGTACTATGGTTACTCAATAATATAAGTTAAACTGTCTTGGTATGCTCTAAGAAAAATATTGTGGGGTAAACAAAAATGTCCCCTTCAGGTCCCACATAAAGAATAGAAACAGCGGCGAATATCAGCATAAGCAATGCTAAAAACAATAAGAAATAATTAATAAGCACTGCATTCTCCTAAATGTAAATGGACAGTGCTTGTTCAGGGCAAGGGGGGGAGGGGGGGGTGGGGGGGAGAGTGGGGTACCCTTCTTTCAAGTAGACATGGTGGTATTCATAATAATAAGCCCCACCAGCCTTACTAATTAAACTGTGCAAAGTTAACTACATGTAAAAGTTTTATACTTTACAATAAGGATAGCAGGTCTAAAGGCATAAACATAAAAAGTAACAATATTAGACAGCCACTTATTTAAACTTTTGGGCTGGTTATACTACAATCATGGTACCATTTTTAATACTCACATATGTCCAATGCTGAAAGGCTGCAGTGACATTAAAAGAAACAAAAGAGATGTGAGAATAAACAAATAAAAGGACAGTTGTTGAGTTTCATCCAATTTAAACAGGGTGGCAAGCCCGCCCTAGGATTTCACGGTAACGATCGTTTCCGGTACCGTGTCGTTACTGTGGTCTTAAAATAACGGAACCGAAGAATAGTTTCCCAATGACATGTCCTGATATATTCAGACTGAGGGATCAAAATACACAAATATTGTATTTTTCCACCCGGTTTCTTAACTAGTACAGCAATTCTTTATGACTCAGCTTG